ATGTAACAGTGCATAGATTTGCTAGTGGGTGAACAAGGCAATAATGAAATTACTGTGTTTAGTAAAGGAGGCAGCAAGCACACTGATTTCCTGCTTTTGCCACAGATTTGTGTGATGTAACCTGTTCAACTCAGCTCATGAAGCCTGATTAGCAAGAAGTATCTGTTGTTTGATGAGAAGATTTCTAGGTATTTCTTTCTAGTATTTCCTTGTAGAAGGGATTAATTAGGCCTTAAGCTGCCAGTGATGCAGATATATTAATAATGCTATGTGTTTCAGCAGTATCCTTTAAGACAAGTCGGAAGGTACACAGCGTGCATCTGAGTTACCCGATTCTTTCAAAGGTTACTTCAGCACCTTGTTTCTGGTTTTAGATTAAAGAAATTGATGCATCGCATGAAGTGAGTTTGTTAATGTACTTTACTTGCTAGGACTCAGTTGCTGTGTCGTGGCGCTTGCTAGGTTTGTGCTAGGAGTGTGTTTCCAGAGTTAGTAATAATAGCAAGTTTCCTCTCCGCCTCCATCCTGTCTTGGTGGAAGGGACGAGACCAAAATTGTCTCCAAAATTGTCACTCCTTATGTCAGTAATTAGGGGATTTAATGGTAACTTCGCAGCTGATGGAGGTTGGGGGGATGGAGGAATTCTTGGCCTCTTAGTAACACTGACTAAATGAGGCGTAAACAAGGATGTCCTTCCTTCTGTTTTCTAGAACTCCAGAATGTCTTCCCTTTCTGTGTCCCAACAGTAGTTTCTAGGTTACAATTTCTCAAAAACCTGCCCGTCACTTAACTGCACAGAACGACTTGAGTCCTTTGAAAAATACAGGAAAATGTTGAGAACTGGTCTGTGTTGCCTCCAACTCTGAACTCTTGCCTGGCCTTTTTTGGCTGTGTTTACAGTATGCTTTTTCCATGAATTTGGCAAGCAGGGTCATGATGCAAACGGATTCACGTGCTTTATGTCTCCTGCAGCACAAACATGTATAGAAAAGGGTGTAAGCGGGTAGAGGACAGATGTAAAACTGAATTCTGGGGTGATGAAAAGTTCAGTGCTCTTCATAAAGCCTTTTTTTTCCATTTCTAGCTGTAATAGAAAACACCTGCTAATGGAATGAGAGACTAATAATACTAGCCCTTGTCACTGCCTCCCCAGCTTGCAGCAGTTCTGGAAAGTGTAGAAGCAGTCCCTTGATACATTATATCTTGTAAGGTAGCAGAAGAGAGGTGTGGATTTATATTAAATCTCTAACTAGCTTCTGGGAAAGCAGGTCAAAACCATTTTACCAGCACCCCCCTGTTTTCTAGCAGGTCTCCCCTGAGCAGGAAGCAAGCTGATGACTAAAAGCCCTCCCTTAGAGCTCATCTGGTATTCCAAGGCAGCGCTGTGGGGGAATCCAATCACAACTTTGGTGTGTTCTCAGCTGATAGAAAGTACATGGGCTCCGAAGAGGGTCTTGTAATCCGGATAGGCCAAGAGGAACTGTAATAAGCCTCTTGCCTTTACTCAAGAGGTGAAAGGGTGCTTTGATATTTCCTCCTACTTGAAAATCTCTTGGTTAGGCAAGACATACAGCATGCAAATGTTAGCCGTACCTGGGACATGGGAACTTGAAAGCTCTGGTTTCAAATGCATCTTCACTGTATGGATTTTTTTCTTTACTGCTGTATCCCACTTTTTTCAAATGAAGTACTAGCATTTATCAGTCTACCTTGCTGAAATCTGCAGAGAGTAAAACTAGGAAGTGATTGGACCGTAGACAGTTTTTATCCTCTGTGGAGCTCCACTGGCTCCAATTAATAGCTCCAGATTTGTTCACGGCCCTTTGAAGGAAGAGAAATGCTGTGTCAGAGTGGTTATCAGCCAAAGAAGTGCACTCACCCACATTGTCCTATCCACAGTATGTACTGGAGTATGTACTTTTTTCTCTCCTCCATGGTGGAAGACAGTGGCCCTTCATTCTGTGTATGTCTATGTACTTAACATTTGAACCCCACAGTGCAGATGTCTGTTTCCGAAGTACGTTAAGGAATGACGCATTTGGCATAAGACATTTGTTCGTATCTGAAGCAGTGTGGGTTTTCTTTTAAAAAAACAAAAACAAAAAAAAGAAGGTTGGCAGCCAAAGCTAGTGTCTGTGGTCTGGCAGTAAAGTTAGTTGCTCCAGGAGAAGGGCATGGGCACCACAGCATGAAAACACTGAGAATGACAGATGAAACTTTTGCAGAAGAGGTGATGAGAGGTGCTCTGGCTACAGAGGACACAGGAGTAGTTCAATTAAGATGACTATTTTCTGCAAGCTAATGGCTGCAGTTTAGGAATAAAGCTCATTAGTTTTGGCCTCCTGAAATTCTTACTTGACCTGGTAGTCTTAGATCACAGAGCTGCTGTAGCATTAGGCTTTAGCTGGAGGAAAGCCAGAATCCAATTACAGTTTATGCCTAATGGTTCATGATTTATGCTTTGACAAAGGCTGTGAGGTTGCTGGGGGGAAAAGGGCATAGGTTGTCCTTGGATATCTTCTGTAGAACGCTGATTGCATCTAAAACATAAAAATGGGGAGGTATGGTTTCCTTTCTTGCTTGTATAGTCCTAGTGTAATTCAGCTGGGAAAATATGCACTCGTGCTGGACTATACACAACATTGGCCAGAAAATTGTTTTTCTTTTTTCTTGACTTTTTAATGTGCTTTCATTTGAATCTTGACTCTCACCTTACTGTACTAAAACGGGTTTGTTTCAGCAAACTCAGCCTTTTTGTTTTTTTGCTTTTGGATCCAGTGAGGCTGATTTCATTTCCTTAAAAAGAAAAAAAAAATCTAGGTTTTTCAGTAATGGGACTCCACATCTAAGCTCCTAAGTTGTGCTTAGGTATTGAGACAGGAGACTTGACCTGCTTTTTAAAAAGCAGCTTACAGAGGTTGTTTGCCTGTTGTCACCATTGGCCTTTGTGTCTTTTTGACTTTCTGAGAGAAGGCAAGATAGCTTCTGCAGCAGAAATTATTGGGGTCTCTAAACTTTAACAGACAATTCACTATTCACTAAATGTTCCTTAGTAAATTGTTCTCTCTTGGGTGATACTGAGGATTCTTGGTTCTGTAAATTTCATTTCTAAACAGGAGCCATCACTCAGACTCTGAAGATAAAATCATAAAAGACAGTTTGATTGATAATTTGAAAACCCCTTAAAAAGACATTTTTATTAAAAACTGTCTCCTGCTGATGCCCCCAGCTTCCAGAGTATTCCTGTTGGAAATGGCTGTAATGTCATTGTGGGGTAACTGTATCACTGCATACTGCTGCAGTTGCTGCCGAGTGGCATTCATTGAATCTGTAATGGTGCCTGTGCTTAAATCTAGTTCCATTGTAAAGCAGAAGGATAAACCTCTTCAGAGGTTTGGGCTGCAAAACAGAAATCTGGTCTGAAGAAATTCAGTGGTTGATATTTCAGACATTAAGATCTCTTTGTAATACCTGTGCACTCATTCCCTGCAGCAGAGACCTTCCCAGGAAGAGCAGCTGAGAATATGTTTCAGGATGTAAAATTCGGATGTCGGAAGGATTTATAGAAAAAGAGGAAGATCAGGAAAAACTGAGCTTGTAGAAGCAGGCTATTTCGTTCTCACTGCACTAAATCAAATAAATGTTTAGCCTTTGATTATGTTTGGTGCTTTATACTTACAGTTTTGCTGGGGAGTGAGTTATATTAAAGTAGTATGGTGGAAAGGAATTAGATTACACAGAAATAAAATAGGCTGAATGCAGTAGCTAAAAGGTTGTACTTCATTGAAAACAGGAAGATGAGAGAGCAACCTCAGACAAGACACGTGAGTGAAATATAGATCTCCAAAGGGAGATTTGAAAGGTCTGGAGACAATTTTGAATTCTCGCAGCACCATGATCCTCAAATATTCTCTATGCAATTATGTTCTAACTTGTATTGTTTTTAAATGATTCTTTTGAGACTGGACTGGGTGTATTTGTGAGGAGCATAGAAGGTAAAACTTCTTTCACCGACTCCAGACTCCTTCAATTCCAGGCAAGCATTTAATAGGTCCTTCATTCGGAAAGGTCTGTGGAACATCTACGTCATCTCTTATCCCCAACCACCTTCAGTTTGTTATTTAAAAAAAAAAAAAACAGGAAGAAGGAAAAAAAAAAAAAAAGCTTAACATAAGAGCCACAGAACTTATATTATTCCATGGGAAGACAGCAGAAGAGATCCAAGTGTTGCTAATGTTTTAGTCCCTGCAATAAGATGGTGTTAAGTGAAATGTGCCTCGATGACCTTGGAAGCAAGTCTTAGCTGATACTGTGAAGGCCAAAATCACTAACAACCTCGTCCTCATAGTCCTTGTCAGCATGACCTAGAGGAAATCTCTTTCCTAATCCAAGAATGCTCTGGTTGCCATAAATATCTTGGATTTGTTGGCTGCTTGAACCAGGTTTCTGACTGATAGGGTGCTGCCAGGACCCAGAGTACACCAGTAATTCCGAGTGTAGATTTGTGGTGATTGGTAACTGGGAATATGATATCACACAGAGGGGAAAAAAAAAAAAAAAAGTCACCAAAGCAAAAATAGCTTGCATGCAGCACTGCCAGAATATGCCTTTGAGCCAGTTCCAGTTTACGTTCAAAGGTGTCCTTACAGGCTGCTTGATATTCTCGTGTGCCTGCCCTCCCCGTTCTGTGTTGCAATGTGCTAGAGATTTCGAAGTAAATTGGCCCTTTCTGTGTCATTCTCTGTGGTTTTGTAATGGGTTGGAAGGGACCCTAAATGAACGTTAGCAAGTTCCTTCGGGTCCTCAGGGATCTGTGGCAATGAACGCTCAAATATTAATACTGATTAGGAGCAATGAGTATGAAGCCAAGAACACTCTACCTTACACTTTTCTATGGGATGAATAGAAGCAGCCACAAGGGCTGGAAGGTTGGTGAAGCTTTTTTACTGGAGGCAGCTCCTGTTGTCTAACCCTCTTCTGTGCGCTCATTTCTTTTCCAGCTTCTCTGCAAGTGGATATTGTTCCAAGTCAGGGGGAGATCAGCGTTGGAGAATCCAAGTTCTTCTTATGTCAAGGTGAGAGATCGTTTCTGGCATCAGGTACCTTCATCTGGGTTTGTTGGGAAGGCCAGTCAACGTGTTAAGTCTGTCATAAAAGCTTTAGTGCTGGGTATAGCTGCAGGATCTTTTGCTTGATCACAAAGTTATGTGAGCTAGGAACATCGAACACAGTTTTTCCAGTTGTTTTTCTCTCCTATATTTTCCCTTTTTTTTCCCTACAGTTGTTTTTTTCCTTATATTTTATCAGACTGAATAGCAAAGGCAACATATACTGTTTATTGGGGACAGGAAATGCAAACTCCCTTGAGAGTTGTCAGTAGAAAGCAGCTCCAACCAACAACTTTTTAAATGGAAAACACGTACTGAAGTGCTATCTCTAAACTTGAGCAATAGATCCTTGGTCTTTTGAATTTAGAATTAAGCTTGGGTTTTGCCAGATAATTTCTCTAATCATTTGTTAATAGCAGTAAAGGGGAGCTGAGAAGCTAGGTGTCAGGTGTGTCCTGAGAACAGTTACCACTGTAGCTAAGGGTTTTAATGCTTCTGAAAACCTGCGTTGCTCACGACACAGTTTATTGTTTGATCCACCCACTGGGTTGAGAGTGAATGCCCAGTCTGTTGTCCTGCACAATGCAGTGCAGTGCTGATTCATTCCATGTGCCCCAATGTGGATCCTGCAGTTTTATGGCATTTTCCAGATCAGCCAGCATCCTCATACGGTCATCAGGGTTCTGCTGAAAGCAGCTGGCCTGGTTTTCTAATGGGAGGAATTGTTATGTTGGGACACTGATGTGATAGCATCCTAGAGCATGACACAGCAAATTGGCGCTGTAATAAGTTGGCGGGAGCAAAGTGCTTTCAGAGGACCGCAGTTCCTCAGGAGCATGTCAACTGGGACAAGTAACGAGGTTGTCTGATCCAGGAAGGCTCAGATGCAGTGTAATCTGTTAGTGCTTTGAAAATGGAAGTGCACTTGGAGTAAGTGCTGTTGCGGTGACACTGATTCAGAGAAGTGGGATCAGTTAAATCCCCTCCAACAATAGCAATTTGTCCTAAATAACCAAGCCGCGTTGGGGAATGTAGAGAAGTGAGCTGCCTGGAACCACTTAGCAGCAATTTTTATTTGCAGCAGCAGGTTTAAGCTGATAAATGCCGGAGCTGCTGCTACAGCAGTTTCACCACCTTGGTATGCAAGGCAGCACAGGTTGCAAGTAGGGTTATTTATTGAAAATATGATAGGACTGGAGGAGGAAAAGTTTCTTAATTCTCAAGGTGTTCTGTACAGTGGAGGAACTGGGATATAGGATCCCAGGATGCATAGAAGGCCATTCTGGGCTGCAATAGGGATTGTTCCCCTTTTAGATTATAAAACCAGCCTAATCATTTTTGCAGGAGAGCAGCTGACCATTACATTGCTGTGAAAGAGAATTTTCATTGTTTGCTTCTCAGGTACTGGAAGCCCTTCCCCTAGCCTAGCCTTCTGCATAGTGCTACTGGTTGTATTTAATTCTCTCTGTGCACATGTGTTGGGAACCCGGTTCAATGTGCTTTATTCTCTTTTATCGTCCCTAGTGGCAGGGGAAGCCAAATACAAAGACATTTCCTGGTTTTCCCCTAACGGTGAGAAGCTGACACCCAACCAACAGCGCATCTCAGTGGTGCGGAATGATGACTTCTCTTCCACTCTCACCATCTACAACGCCAACATCGATGATGCTGGTATCTACAAGTGTGTCGTCAGCAGTGCGGAAGAGGGAGACTCTGAGGCCACCGTCAATGTGAAAATTTTCCGTAAGAGAGCAACTCTGAGACTTTCTGGTCTGCCTTGCACGTGCATGAGGCAAGATTGTTGAGGCAACCACTTTACTTTCCTAGGAAAGGCTATTTCCAAATAGGAAGAAAGAAGGTAGCAAGAAAGGGGGGGGGGGGAATGTTAAGAAGATGCAGCCTTCTTTCTTGGGTTTGAGGGAAAAGTGGAAACTGGGACCTCTGCCCCTCTGTCAGGGGATTACTAGCTTGTCTACTACTTAAATTCCTCTGAAAAGCAGGAGAGCAAGGGGCAGAAGCAGAAGATTCCTGTGCATCGTGAATGTCTGGAAGGAGTGAGCAGAACGTACTTTGCGGGCGGCAAACATCTTACAAAATAAGACCAGTAAAGAGGGCTGCGCGTTTAGGAGGCTTATAATTAGCCATTAGCATCTTCTCCAGCAGAGCTGCGATAGCTGCTCCTTCCCCTCCTTTCAGGAAGCTGGGCAGTTCTGCATTCCCGTTTCTTCTTCCCAGTGTGCGCGAATCTGTGGGCTCAGTAGAGTGTTGATTCAGCCTATTGATATGCCTGGGAGGTAAGGGTTCCTGGAAAATGGGGCTCCTGTGTCACAGTGCAGTGTATTGAGTCAGGAGCACCTGTCTCCTCCACTCTGGGAACTACAGGTTGGTGTGTGGAACATGCTCTCTGGGATTTCATTGCTTTGCTCGGGCTTGAATCAGGGGCAGAGCTTGAGATTTGCTGAGAAAGCTGCAGTGATCTTCTTCTTCTTCCATTGCTTTCAGAAAAGCTAATGTTCAAGAATGCTCCCACCCCTCAGGAATTCAAAGAAGGGGACGATGCTGTGATTGTGTGTGATGTGGTCAGTTCACTGCCTCCCACCATCATCTGGAAGCACAAAGGCAGGGATGTTATCCTAAAAAAAGATGGTAAGGCACAAGAGGTCTTGGCACTTGCCCATTCAAGGGTCAAATGTGCCATCTGCCATGAGAGCTCCAAATCAGGCTGATGCAAAGGTTTCAGGAGAGCAAAATGGTGGCAGGCACAAGGGAGGAGGGGGCAATATGTACATAACAGTGAGGTGCTGTGATTTGGCAATGGCAAGGCAGTAGTGTTCTCACAGAGATGGCAGCGACTTGATACCTCAATAGGCTAGAGAATGCTAGAAATCTTTTCAGATGAAAGGTGCCGTCAGATAGAAAAGCCTCATGTGGTGACGCTCTTCAGTCTTCCTAAGAAAAAGAGGTTAAAGCTCATGGCAAGAACCTTTTCCTTTCTTTGAAGATGCTACAGGCTTTCGTGCTCAGTATTTTACTGGCAGAGGGAACTCCAGAGCCTTGACTCCGCCAGTTGAGCACTAAAGCTCCGGCAGTATTTTCTACGTCTGTTTGTTGCAGGCACGAGGGAACTGTCGTAAGACTTGAACTCTGCCTCCCCTTGGGAAAGAGGGACAAGTTTCAAGTTGCTCACTGGATGTTGTCTGATAGTGATTAAATGTAAACGTGTTTACGTCTGCCTGTATATATCTATCTCTGTGTATATTTGCACAGTATGAAATAGCATAGTGGTTTATGTCTCCTCCCTTGTCCAGTTTCTTTCTTGGCAGTGTCATATCTGATAGCAGCAGCAGCATCTCCATTAGCATGATGGAAAGGGAGGTTTCATTACATTAGGCCTCATCTCTAACCCAGAATGGGCAAGGAGAGAAGTACCTGTTACCTGCAGTGAGCTTTCCTGAGGATCCTTGGATGAACCTTCCTTTTGTCTCTTCTAGTCCGATTTATAGTCCTGTCCAACAACTACCTGCAGATCCGTGGAATCAAGAAAACGGATGAAGGAACGTACCGTTGCGAGGGCCGGATCTTGGCTCGTGGGGAGATCAACTTCAAAGATATTCAGGTCATTGTAAATGGTGAGCAGCCTGGAATAAGACTAGTGAGGGGCAAGGGTCTGTACCACCTATGCTCTTGGCTACTGATAGAAATGTGACTATAGATTCACACTCATGAAATACCATCAGTTGTTTAATCTTTCTGTGCTGGGTTAAATAAAAATACCCATGAAATTGACTGAGCGTTTACAAGATGTTTGCAGGAAATTATCCTGTCAAGAGAAAGCTCAAGTGTCTCATGACTCAGAGTGAGGTATTGACATTGTTAAACTTGCAAGCAGTTTTGTCCATAATACCAATTTTCTGTGGCTCTCCCCCTGCCACCTTCTGGCCCTTCCTTTCCCCACCTTTTGCTTTGGAGAGCCCATGCATCAAACCTGTTGCTGCAAGCCTGCAGGTCAGAGATTGAATCTCTAAGGACGTCTCTGTGTACTGCTGAGATTACAGTGAGCCTTCCAGGGCTCATTCTTGCTCACATCTTCTGTCCCCTTTACTATTCTTAATGTGAATTCCTTCTCTTCTAGTGCCTCCTTCTGTGCGTGCCAGACAGAGTACTATGAATGCCACTGCCAACCTCAGCCAGTCTGTCACCTTAGCATGTGATGCTGATGGCTTTCCTGAGCCAACCATGACGTGGACAAAGTAAGATGCTGTGTGCAGAGTCCTGATTATATGTGAGCATGGATGTTTTCACCAAGGCCCTGAAAAGCCATGCAGAAGGGACAGCAACGTTTTAACTGGAATACTGTTCATTCCTTTATCCCCCAAGAGAAGCGATGGCCTCACAAGAGGGGAATTGCAGTATATTCAGTGTTAGCTTCCTAGAAAAAAACAGGAGCAATAACGGTAACAAGAGCAATTCTTCACTATCCCATTACATCCTTCACCAAGCTGCAAATAGAGATGAAACTTCATGATGACCAGACTTGTCCCATGGGTCGATTTATTGTCATGTTGCACAGGTGGGGACAATGAGGTAGGAGTGGATGCTGTAGCTTGCCTTTGTCATGCCAGGAGATTCTGATCCAAAGGCTTTCCCTTTATTTCATGGGCTCAAAATTTGACTCTCAGTCAGTGGAGCAGACCTCTGATATCTGGATTCTGCAGCTTGCGTAACCTTTGGTGAAGGACCCTCTGTAATGTGGAAAAAGCTGGCAGCGAACTTGTAGTACTGCCTTAAGATGAAAGGACAGAAGCCACCTCTCGTGGCGTTTATAGCTCTTGCCTGATGAAAGGTTTTACAGTGCAGAGCCCTTTGGCAGGAGAGATGAGGAACAGACTCAGATGCAAGCCTTGTAGCCCTACAGAAGGGCAAGGGTGGAGGTGCTTTCCACACGTAGGCACGTCAGTGTAGTTAAGTTTTAGCATTAACATAATATCTAAAATAAATAGCTTTTGCCTCTCCTCCCCAAAACAGCCTATGTGCTTTGTGCCCTGCAGGGATGGAGAGCCAATAGAGCAGGAGGATAACGAAGAGAAATACAGTTTCAACTATGACGGCTCTGAGCTGATCATCAAGAAGGTGGACAAGAGCGACGAGGCGGAGTACATCTGCATTGCTGAGAACAAGGCTGGCGAGCAGGATGCCACCATTCACCTCAAAGTTTTTGGTAAACATGATCTTACTGTCCCCTCTTTCCAAGCCAGCTGGGTATTGGTAGCTAACTGGTGCAGGGTGGAAGCGGACTGCTTGTCCCAAGTAATGGTTGACATGACTTAATGAGTGCTGGCACCTTTATGCCCATGCGTAGCAAAACAGATTCTGAGTGTGCCTGTGATATACATGCCAGCTCTGTTGTTCTTCATCTCTCATAAAAGAAATTCAGTCCTGTGCGAAGGGGTAGTGTGAGACTTGCCACTTGAAATCTCTTGCAAGCCATGAGGGCTGAAAACAAATCCAGCTGAAGTTGCTGTAGAAAGAGCTTTAGCACTTCAACAGGACTTGCTGTAAGCTGGGCAGTGAGGTGAACTGCACCCCACCACTGTGTGAAGGACCTCACAGTTCTTGGAGTGAATCTGCATGTTTCCTACCTTGCATCAGTCTGGGAGTGTTGAGGAATATGGTTTCCCCCTGCACCCTTGTTGTGCCTCTGTAGCCATTTGACCAGCCTGCTCATGGAGTGGGCTAATTTTGGGCAGAAGAAGTAGACAGTGAGGTGGAAGACTCAGCTGATGACTTCAGGGACTGAGATGTCACCATTTCAACACTGTTAAATGGGCTCTGTAGCAGATGTTAACCCCTTCTAGTCTTATGCTACAAGCCTCAGCTGTAAGCATGGGTAGAGAAGGACTTGTAGTTCTGCCCTCTTCCTGGGCCTTGCTCACACATCACTCTGCTCCCTTCGGCATGTAGCAGTAAAATTTTGCCAGTGCAAAAGCCTTTTTCCCCCCAATGTTGCTTTTTCAGACATTGCTGTTTGCAGGCAAGCTTAATTCTGAAGCAGCAACTGAATGAAATTTTTTCTTCTTTTAAGCAAAACCCAAAATCACATATGTGGAGAACAAAACAGCCATGGAGCTCGAGGATCAGATCACACTGACCTGTGAGGCCTCTGGGGACCCAATCCCTTCCATCACTTGGAGGACTTCCACCCGGAACATCAGCAATGAAGAGAAGGTATAACCACTCCCAAAACGAGCAGAGTTGGGTTCAGTGCAGCTCACATCTGCCTGCCTCTGCTGAGCCAGAATGCACGATGGCAGCAGGCAGATACGCATGGAAATCATGATGTTTCCCCCCTGTAGCAAGAATACTTACTGTCCTGCACAGACCATCCACTAAAGGGCCAGCTCACCAGTTGCAGTAAATCATCATAATGCCTTTGATATTCTTTTGTACAAAGAGCCATCACATTTTTGAACGACTGAGGATCAGCTTTTTAATTTTCACTTGTGTCACTCTGACACAGGCAAAGCACCAGGCTCTGGATCCTTTTCAGAGCAATTTCCAGTGATGCAGGAGGTTTTTAAAAGGTTTCTCCATTTTGCTCCCAAGTTGGGAGGTGGCAGTGAACACCCTGATTCTTGTGTTCTCCATGCTGTTGTTATGATGGTGGAATGATCTGGGAGGTGGGTGGGGCAAGTGGAGACAGGGTGGGTGCTACCTCTCAAAGATGTAGTGGACCAAAATGAGCCTGTTAATTCCTTCTTGCTCTTCTGCATTGTACACCAGCACTGCATGTACTTAAAGCACAAAAGCCTGGCTGCCTTTGTGTTCACCTGTATCATTGATCACATATCAATATCATTTTGTTCTTAAAAGGCAAAAATATTTAGCAGTTTTTTTTTCTTTTAAAAAATCATGCTGTTTTTTACTAGCCATGATTCCCCTTTACCAGGCAAGATTCAGAGTGCTTTCTGTTACTGTAGGTATTGCGTAACGGGAGAATAATAGGGTAGCCAGGAGGGATAGTTCAGCTGAAGTAAACTTGGACAAGAGAATGAGAAAGTAGTTACTGTTTATCAATAATCTTCTAATGACAGGATGCTTCAGGGCTCGGGTAGCTTGGACATTCCAGTGGGTCTGACTCAATGTGAAGGCAGGAGTGGTAGATTATGAAAGAGAAACGGAGGTATCCACTGTCATAGAGCTATCCGTATAGCTTCCACTTTGCACTGTAGCCTCTTAAATGAGCTTTCTGTATTACCTCCACGATCTCAGCTCTTCAGCACGTTGCTGCCATCTAACTTGTTACTCAGAGTGCCAAAAGTTTCTAGCCTTGACTCTCCCTCTGCAGGAAAGTATTAACTTATTTTGAATTTGAGGGTTAATGTAAATCCCTGCAAAGCTGAGGCAGAGATTCCCATTGCCTTTGAAAGCTGTTGGCTTGGACTCTTACTGTAGTATGATAGGGGACTATCTTGACAGGATAAGGTTATTCGTGGTCTCCTTTCAGCATGGAATGGCAATTTGAGGAGATGAAGTTAGCAGCCCTAGAGTTTGGATCACAGGCAGATAGAGGAAAGAGCTTCCACAGAGGAAAATAAGAGTTGAAATAAGACTAAATCAGATAGAAATCTGCAGGAGAGCCTATTTCCAGAGGATTCTGTCTGCCTGGCCCAGTTAAACTAACAAGATCTCAGTGGCAAAACTGCTAACCATTTTTGAGACTCATACATCCTGTTTAAAGCTGTTGAGTCAGTGATCTATATTAAGGAACTGTTTTATATATTCAGATGGTTTCTTGTGTAGATAGGGGAGAAACAAAGGTTTGAGTTACTAGCATGTGTCTCATGTACTGGCTCAATCCTTCAGGGCAAATAATGTGTTACTGTGTAACATACGCTACGCTTTCTAGGCAAGATTTTCTGTTACTTTGGGTTTTTTTAACTTGCTCCCATTCTCTGCCTTGTGCTCTAAGTTCAAGTGAATAGTACCAGCTTTCAGAAACACCTCAGGTCAAAATTGCTCTGATAAACATTCTTTTACATGCACAGCCAGATAGGTATATGTTGTTTACCGTCCACTTATTGTCTCTGAGAAAGCACAGGGAAATGGATGAGCTTTGGTGTGGGGCAGACAGTACAGTTTTTTGGAAAAGCTCAAGCCCTACTTTTAAGCACGTATTAGACATTTAGATGCATCTGTCTTGCTACAGGTTGTTTGCTTTTGTAATCATGCTTCAGTCTAAATTTTTAAAGGTCTAGAGATGCCTTAGCTCCCATGAATATTTGCTACTTTAGCAAATATTACTTTTATTTACTTTTTTTTTATTTGCTTACCTGAAAACTAACAAACAAACAAAACCCAGCAACAACAGAAACCCACCAACAGAAAAACCCACCTCTGTTGTAGAATTTTTTCCCCAAGTCCCTGCTGCAGAAGAGAGATTGCCCAGCATGGGGCAGGAGGCGCTATGGCCCGAAATATCCGTGTTGCCAGTGTCACAGCTTTTTGAACGTTTCCGTAGCTTCCTGAGAGACTTGTTGATGTCTTAGCACACATAGCACAAAATTATCCTTTCCCGCAAGGCATGCCTTGGCCAAACAGTCTTTTGTTTTGAGGGTGCTCTGAAAAGGCAAGTGAGTGTTGCTGTGGGTGTAGGAAAATCAGATGAGTGACAGCTGTGTATTGGCACAAATGTGCAGACAACGCTTCCAGATACTGGCATGGCCGAAGCTTTCTCTTGCTAGTAATCTGGACGCTCGCGTTCTTCTCCCCTGCAGAAGCTGCAAATAGAGGAGAGAAGATTTGCTTACACGCAGTTTGCTTTGGTTGCGAATGTTGAAACATGTTATTTAGAAGAAACTTTTGGCCACACAAATCTGAGGTTCCTGTCTATCACTGTTGCAGAGTTGCATAGCAAGAACTAAAAGCCCCAGAAAAGTCATCAACATGATGATTTGAAATTGCTTAGCCTTATCCTTCCTGAAGTATTTACTGCTGTGCCGTTGTGGGAAGGGGGGAACTACTTTCTTTTCATCATACCAGGTGTAATGTCAATTGAGAGAGTATACCATATCACCCTATCTCTTATCACCTTCACTGTATTTCATCCCTATTTAAGAAATGTTTCTTCTGTCCCTCTTGCAAAATACCAACTCTGATTCAGTAAATATAATCTTGATCTGTTATATATTGGTATATAAAAGTTTCACAGTTTCAGTGCAGGCATGACTGTTTATTGTCAGATTTTTGGATGAGGTAATCACTAACTACTCACACTTGCATGAAGCAGTGACTGATTCGGTTTTAAGTTTCTTGAAGAGCAGAGTAGTTCAGTGTGAGGAATGGGGGAAGCGATAAAAGGTGGTCCTTTTCTGCAGGCCTTTTAGCATCATACCATCTTACAGCAGGAATACTTATGGCTTAGCATCTCATTCAGTACGGCTCTCCAGTGTCTCCTGCTAGTTGTCAGAAGCTGCATCACATGTTATTATCTTCTCAAAAGCAAGTCAAAGGGAATGCGGACCTTCACTCGCCGGAGTGAAGGAATCGGAGAACAGAAATTATCTGCCCTGGTGTTCTCCTTCCTTTACGCTAACTACTGCTTAACCTGTACTGTATTACTGAGCCTTTTCCACCAAGGCTCTCCTAGAAGGTACCTTGTAACTAAAGCAGGGAAATTGCAGAAGACTTGAATGGAGCATAGTTTATGAGAGGCCCCTTTGGTAGCTGACAGATTATGTGATTAACAGATGTCTTTGCTCACCCCTCCAGCAAGTGAATTGTATGGACACCTTGTGCTCCCCTGGGAACAGTCCAGTACCTCCTTCCGCTTGGTCTGAAGGTTGCTGGTTTTGACCAATAGCTTCAACTCCATATTTCTGGCAGCTAAAACAAAGAGATAAGTTGTTCAAAGCTTAGAAATCTTTAGATGAAAACAACATGAATGAGTTCCAGCCAGGTCAGGAGTCCCTCTTTGCTAGGACATCAGCAGTGGGCTGCCAGTATTGCAGCAGCATGCTAGGGTATAATAACCAGAATACAGAAGGGACTCATTCCATTGCACAGTTCAGACTGGTTCAAATGTAGCTGTAAAGTAATTTAAAAAACATAAAACCAAGTAAAATGAAGAGAAGGGCTAAATCCTCTGCTGATATAAATGACCACTGTTGCCTCGCCTTCAGCAAAGTGCTTCTAGATGTACTGCAGCAAATCTAACCTTTCAAATGTTAACCTCATTTCAATTTAGCTTCCTGATTCTCTTTTAAGTGGGTCTTACACCTTTAACACAATTCCTGGTCTTAAATTTGGTATATACTTTGCATGTCATGAAATAAACACACGAATAACTTTGAATTTAATAATCCAGGGAGCAGGCAACATTGGCAGCTCCCAGGAACTCCCTCATGATTGAGGATGCTCTCATTTAACTCCTCGCTTTCAAAGGGAAAGGTAGATGGTAACATGCCTGAGGCCTTTTCCCTGCCTGGTGTTGAACGGAACTTGCATCCTTTTCAGTGAGGAGAGTAAGTATGGAACTCTCTAGGATAGAGCTGTAATTCTGCTTTATTTCTCACAACCACCAGTCCCGTTACAAAGAAGCAGCCAACTCTAGCGTACGGGAACAGGTGTTTCCCTCCTTTTATTTTCCTGTAGGTTGACAGGTACTCAACACCAGTCATAGGATAAGAGAATAGGACATCTGTTTTGAACCCACTATGCTGATGCTAAAGGAATACAGTGAATAGGGTTGAAGGGGGACTTACCTGGGTATAAACAGTGCAGTTTCCTGACATGCTGCTGCCCCTTCACATGCTGCCTATCATTTCCTGGAAATGCTTAATTGAAAGAAAATGAGAAGAGGTTATGGGGAATCACATAACAAACAGCTGATGACCATGTTGTCTATGGTCAGGTTCACTAGCCTCCTCCTGACTTTGTGAAGTACCTTCTGGGCCCAATCTAGTGAAGCTACTGCTTGAATTGCCAGAGGTACAGCCTAAAGTGTGATATATGCTTTAGCCATGCAGTCTGGGGTGCGGGTACATCCCATGTAAGTGGGTTCTTATTGTGTGCTTCACCTAGCCACCCTCCTCCAGCCACCACTCCCTTTCAGTGGCATCTTGGGTTGGATGCCTGGCAGAAGGGCAGGTAAGCAGTGTTGTCAGGCTGAATATAAGCTGAGCTCAGGCTTCAGAGTAAATACTGGGCCTGGCTAGCTCAAGTGCTGTGTAGACAATATGAACGACTGTGGTACATGAAAAAGGGATTGTGCTAGACTACTAGCTGCTTTAATGGCCTGTTTAGCTTTCAGGGAACTTGGGCTCAACAGGATAAAGGTGTATAGAAATGATGAGATGATATAGGTGCTGGGCAGAGTCCCAGTCCATACAGGTGTTGATGAGCTTCTCCTTCAGCTTCTCCTTCTCCTTTTACAAAAAGCATCCTAAAATGAGGCTGTCTGTACTGTACGTTAATAGTTAGGTCAGGTCTCACTGTTTTCACTGGTTGCATTTATTTCACTGAAAGCAATTTATTTCACTGCGGAAACAATACTGTGTTTCCTATTCTCATTTCCTAAACTTTCATCTCCATTTCTGTAATGTCACTCCTGTGTATGCTGTTACCTCCAACTGTCAGTAATGCTTGTGCCTTTGGGTCTCGCATTCAATAATGCCATACTAGCTGTGATATTAGCAGGTGATTTTTGACTCCTGAATTGAAATGAATCAAGTTGCAATTGAAATAGATGCCAGAAGAAAAGCATTTGAAAGATGATTCATAGGAAAGAAGGGAACCCAGCAACTTTGTTTTTTCTGAAACGGGGCAAATACAGTCCACACTGTTGCTGGCTCTCTCTGAATGGCAGATGTACATTTATTGGTAAGGTTTGTGCATGTTTCACTGATGCCTGTTGTTTGATTGTTCCAAGCCCAGTAAGGACTGGGCACAAACATTCCTAAAAATAATGAGCTGGACATTTTGCTGTGGAGTTACTAGGTTCCAACCTGCTGTCTCCTGTCCAGGAGATCATAATGTTTCATTGCTCTGCAATTTGAAGATTCCTACTCTTGACACAGCATGTATGTAAAAACTTGTACAAATGCATGATTACCTAATGAGCATTAACAGTGACCAGTGTGTCCGGGTAGCTAACAAATCAGTGTTTGGGAAAACAGTTCTATAAATGTCTTTGCAGTTAAGCGACCTAGATCACCAGAATCGCTTCCCCAGTATTTTGGGGACATATTTCCAGAATCGGAGAGAATGCAGCAAAGGGAATACACGGTCACGTGATATGCAAGAACAGAAGCACAGAGTCTTTAGATATAATTAGCCTTTGTTTGACCATTTTGAGTTTGATTTATAAGATATTAAATTCTGAATACAAATCTAAATTGAGATTATATTGGGAAATGGAAATAAAATTGTGATCACCCCCCACACACGTAAGATATACGACTTGGAGCCTGCATGCGCACAGAACACAGTGTGGTGCATACAGTGTGATACCTAAAAGCAACATTTGATAAACTTTTATTGCTTTTTTTTTTTTTTTTCCCCTGTTGTGTTCTATTTCTGTTCTCTCCAGGCTTCGTGGACCCGGCCCGAGAAACAAGAGGTATAAGATTATCAGACCTTTAGCCAACCTTCTTAGTTGTTTGGGTTTGTTTTATAGGCATTACAGATTAACATATTTCTAGTCCAGTAACCATGCCAACTAAACCAGCCTTAATAATATGAATAAATTAATTAAAAATCAATACATAAAAGAATCTGCTAATAGAGTTAGAAGTTGCTTGGCGTTTAGTGATGCATTTTTGGATGAGCAAACTAGCTGTGTTGGGGATGAGTAAACATTAATAGTTAGTAGTCTGGCTTTGTCCCTTAAAAGAGGGAGAAAAAGAGGGGGGAGGGAAGAACAGTAGATGTGAAATCTGACAAATACTGTTTTCTTCCACACTACTTGTGTGGATCATGTGTCTCATCTAGAGTTTTAAAACTTACCCACAGCATGTATTCTGGGACGGTAATTTTTTCTAAGCATAACTTCTTCCACTCCAGCCAACTCATCTGTTTGCTCATGGCACTTCTTAGGTTTGGTCTTCTCCTAAAGAACAACTGCATCACATTTCCATTTCAGAAGCAATGCAATTAAATCTTTCCCAACTTATATTTCTCCAGAAAATGCTCCCAACTGCTAAATTGTTGTTATTGGTCTTTGATTTGCAAGGGACAATGGTAGGATGCAGGGATTATGCAATAACTCATTTTGGTGCAGATGTGATTTGTTGTTGTTTTATTTCACATTCAGTGCTGTATTTAAATAATAATAATAATAATCTGCCTTTACATGCACCTGATTTATAGAATTCTTGCTTCCAAATGGACCAGAAATTTCATTCCCAAGCAAATAGTAGGAGTCAGGTGTAGCATTAGCTGTCAGAACTGAGTGAACTCCAATTTGTATTTGCAGGATCAACATTACGGGTATCCTGATTATTATTATTATTTTTAAAGCTGACTTAAAACGCAGAGTGTAATATGGTCCAGACGTAGCAAACCTCTATTTTAAGCACTCTCAGCCTTTTTTCATGTGGAGCTGATAAGATATTTCCCATTCCTATTTTGAAATGAATCTGTTGAAAATTATTAATTGGGGCAAGTGGGGACATCAGGTATTCAGGCCAATTTATGTTGAAAGATTTGGAATTTGAGTAGTTGTATCTCTTCAGGCTTCATGTTAAAGCCTGCTACATTTTGTCTGTCCATCCCTGCACACACACACGCACGCACGTGCACGCACACACTCAGTGTATTCGCTGTGCCTTCTGTCTCAAGCCTTTTATTGGTGTGAGCACTAATAGTATTGAGCTTACTGTCTCTAAATGTCTTACCTTCTCTACCTTTTAAAGTACCTGAGTGGTGTTCTATGAGAGTTTTTTTTGAAGCTTATTATTGCGTAGACACTTCTTTAAAATAGCTAGCGTGAGGGCTGTTAGCAGCACATTCGAGCAGCAGAGAGTTCAGTTCCTAGGAAGCTGAGTTAATACTTGACGTTAAATCTGTTTCATTCTTGCCAGTGCATCAGCTACTTTAAAGTAAGGAAGTCTACATGAGCTTCAGTCACGGCAGCAGAGAGTGGATATTAAATCTTCCTTTCCTTGCTTTGGAGGTGAAAATTCCAACAGGAATTAGTGATGCATTTCTAATAACTGGGAATTAGCACAGCCTCCCAAAGATAAGGACTACAGGCAAGTCCTGGTTAGTGAAGTGAAAGCACAGGGCTAGGAGAGATCACTCATCCCTGTCCGTTGGAATTTGCAGCTGTGGTCAGTACTTCCAGCTGTGGTCAGTACTGTTCTGTTAATAACCCTAGCTAGCTGTGTGGCAAGTGGGTAAGGAGTATATATGACTGTGTAAAAGTAAGTTGTGAATACTTGTTTGGGAAAGGACTGAAAAATCCTGAAATTGAAGTAAATGCATTTCCCATCTGTCTCTTCTCTTCTTCTTTGGCATTGAAGCATTGAAATCTAGGCCAGCTGTTTACATAATGACTATGTATGACGTGGCATTGTCAAAATTTGGAGAAAAATACCTATGCGTATCTCAGGATGACTTGTAGTAGTCAGAGATATGAAGCATCCTCATACCCTTTTCTGTAGAGAGGCAATTGCTATGGCATAAGTTATTGCCTTTGTCTCTAAAGTTTTCTCACCATTGCTTTGAAGCATTGGCAGTTATGCGGAACCATATAAACCAAGGAAGCTGTGTAAAGAGATTACAGGCTTCTGCATATCTGGCTCACAAGTTTCTAGCTAACCTGTGTCTTCAGTAGGCAGGAATTGTTAGCGTTTGATGGATGGCCTGAAATGTTCAAGAAGAAAACAGGTAGCATGCTTTCTTTGTTGGCTGTTTCTCCCTTCTTTGCGTGTTTTCCCTAATCTTTCTTTTTCTTTCCGTGTGCCCTTTGTGGAGGGAAGCGTAGCTTCATCTTCAGTATTGGTTGCATTACTTAAATAGTTACCATTTTATCATGGCTGTCGGTGCTAGTTTGTTTATTGTATTGGATCTTGGGGAAAAGTGGAGAAAGACAGATGACACTGAATGTAGAACTACCTTTGTTGCAGCAACTTTGCACTAATATTTTGCCATATTTATACTATTGCTTACTGGTTGGGTCATAGAAACAAATACTTAGAATATTCCTCTCTCTCATGAGCTAAAAGAGAAGCTGTGAACCTTTACAGATCTGGTGTCTTGACATTTATGGATCCTACTGCAGCGGTTTGAGAAACAAGCTGGGTTTTGGAAGCAAATCACGGGTCAAGCAAAACGTTTGCAGCATAGTCAGCCACTGAAGAAATACAGAAGCAGAATTTGGTGGAAAATGCTGCAATGGACTAATGCCATGTTAAGAGATCCTTGCATGGTTCTAGTAAATAATGCACATGACACCATGCATTTGTGAAATAAAAAACTGTTCCCAACAATGCAAGGGACCAGCCACAGGAGAGAGGGTGAAATCGTTAGCTTGTGGCATTTGTCTGGGATTGCAGTAGACCTGCATGCAGTGGGGGAAAGAGAAGAAGAAAAATACATAGTTGGTTTTGTGTCAAAGGATATTATTTTTGTGTGTATGAAATTTGACTAGGTCAAATGAAATAATATGCAGAACTAAGAGCTGGAAAAAAAATCCTGACTTGTCTTCTAGTACACCTCATAAAGAGCAGGTAATCACATTTACGTGTAGAAACTTTGTCACCTTAGAGCTTCAGACCATTAATTCGGAACAGAAAGAGTCCTCAGGCCCAGAGGATCTGAGCACCTGAGATATCAGAGAGATACTCTGCACTATGCTCACTGCGCTTGGCTGTTTAATTTCTGCAGGGTTTTTACTCATAAGCTCAGTATTTGTCTTGTATCTTCCAAGAAAAAGTACACTCTGGTATTAATTGCCTTTAGTGTGGCAGCCTGCAGCGTGAGGCACAGCCACACATTATGAAACCTTGTTTGTTCACTTGTGCTTATGTCACTTTGGAAACAAGATGAGAAAGCTGGTGCTTTAAAGTCTCTAAGCTGAAGCCCAAGCTGCAAAAGCTTGCACAAGCACCAGGATGGAGGGAGGAGTCTGTGGCGCTCTTTGCTTCATGTACTGAGAAAGTACTTGGGTTTGGTAACAGTCCAGGGAGGTAGGAATCCAGTTTCAGAAGAGAAAAAGACAGTGATGTGGGATGGGATCCCGTGGTGGCTGCGATGCCTTTTGATGTCCGGTAACCTGCTTTTTATATGCCGTGCCTCTCTATCATCGACATCCCTACGCTTTCCCGTACATGGGATCAGTTTCTAAACTGGCATATAACCGATGCAGTTTGCACTAGAATTTTCTCAAAGAATCATGAGAACTTGAAGCAGGGTCACCTTTGGAAGGGTCACTTAAGTTTTCTTCCCTTGTTCATTGTGCCATGTGCTTGGCTCGGTGTCATGGTTGGGGAAAAAGTTCTGAGCTTTCATTTTACCTGATTAATTACTGAACTCTGAGGTCTGGATCTTCTCTAGTTAATGCCAGTGTGAATCATGAATGTTGAAATAAAGCAAGCATCAATGAGGGAAGAGTAAGGCCTGAATCCTCTGACTGGAAACAGAGGATCAGTCAGGGCAGTTTTTTTACAAGATGGCATACTGGCAAAAACGTTTTAACCAGGGATGGATCTCTACAATTCTTTCTCTTAAAAGAAGCTTGACGTTATGCAGCCGTCCTCAGAAACGTAACATCTGGCACTTTGGTCCTTCCTCCATGATTTGGTACCTCGCCTGAGGTGATCACTTGTGAAGTACTGAGCGCTGGAGGGTTGGAGGGAGGTAGACTTGCATTCATTCCCGCCCCCTTACCCCCTTTAGTCTGCACCACAGACTCAGAGCTCAGCCTCTGACTTTCTCTTCCTTTCCTGCCAGACCCTGGATGGGCGCATCGTAGTACGTAGCCATGCCCGGGTGTCGTCCCTGACGCTCAAGGAAATTCAGTACACAGATGCCGGAGAATATGTATGTACAGCCAGCAACACCATCGGGCAGGACTCCCAAGCCATGTACCTCGAAGTGCAGTGTAAGAAAGGAGGGGAGGGATTCCTGTCTTTAGAGGGGGACTGTCTTTTGATTTCCTTGTCCTCTGAGACTGAGGCACCTACAGCTTCAGAAATGTAGGAGTGGCACAGGTGGCTGTAGATCATCTTGTCTGCAGGCTGTTGTACTAGGCCACTTGAAGGTGTGCGTTGTTTGGGTAGAGGGCACAGGAAGCAGCTCAGCCTGCAATAAGTTTGTTGGAGGCATAGGTTACTGTGTGCATACATGCAAATGGTTGCACTGGTTGTCTCCGACTGGGATTTTGTTTGCACCCAAGGAAGATTATGGGCCCGAGATCCCTCAGTGCTCCTGCATTGCAGGCTAGCTGAGGCAGTGTACCTGCCACACTCTTATTCCTTGGGTGTGTCAGTGATGCTTCCCGCAGTTGCGTAGCACGCTGTCTGCTGATCCTCCCACACTGTGGTTAGGAGCAGGCTTTGGGACTGAGCAGGCTTCCTCCTTGCACTTCAAGTCCTTCAGCAAAATATCACCCCCTGGGGTGTGAGAACGCTATCCCTTTTTCCTGCATTAAATTCTCTCCCCCAAATTAAACTGTGCCCTAGCCAAGGATTCCTTAAAGCTAGGCTGACTGGACTGCTCTAGAAGGTTTTGTGGCTCACATTGTCTTCAGAAATGTATCTTTGTTTCAGATGCCCCCAAGCTTCAGGGTCCAGTGGCTGTCTATACCTGGGAAGGGAATCAAGTGAACATCACCTGTGAGGTATTTGCTTACCCCAGTGCTGTCATCTCCTGGTTCCGAGATGGACAACTGCTTCCTAGCTCAAACTACAGCAACATCAAGATCTACAACACTCCATCAGCAAGCTACCTGGAGGTAAGGAAAAGCAAGGGAAGGGATATGCAGTCAAGGCGGTTTAGTGCTATTAGATGATGTATGTAACTGATGTTGAAAGAGTTCAGTTTTCTGTCAGGGCTCCCTGTTGGTGGGTAGGAAGTTGTGTGTTGTTTCTGGCATACAAATGCTAAGAGAACCAGGTGAGGGAAGACAGCAGTCCCTCCTTGCCTTTGACTCTCTGCTCACTGTGGTTCTCCTCTCCGTGGACAGCCTTCAGAGTATCAACATGTGTACTTTATTGTTGCTTCTCACGCCAGCAAAATGCAAAGGGCATTGGTAGACAGAAAATGCCTTGCTGATCCAAGAACTCCTTCGTTCCTTCCATAGGTGACACCAGACTCTGAAAATGACTTCGGAAATTATAACTGCACTGCTGTGAACCGCATTGGCCAAGAGTCCTCAGAGTTCATCCTCGTGCAGGCAGGTGAGCATCCCAGACAGGGTAATAAGGAAATGAGCAGGCAACCCTTGAGCTGCAGTGACAGAGGGAAGGTTCTTCTCTAGGTTGTGTTGGTGGGGTAGCACACAGGATACAGGACTACCAGCGTTCTCTTTCAAGGAAACTGTTGATGGGTTTTTAGTTAGGATGGATTGTAGACAACAAGATCCTTGCTATTTCTGTGCCTTTGTCTCTGGAGGATCTCGCTGTTTCTGCACTTCCGGTACACCCAAGCGCTTTGACAGAGCTGTGACCTTTGGTTTCAGATAGCCATTGCATATGTGCGTGTACATATACTTCTGAAACTTAGGAAAATATCCCATATAATCTGGGTAGTACCAGACTAGATAGCTCAGAGAACTATGTACCAATGAAAGAGGCCCCCCGTCTGACTGACTAACAGACTAGGAGGGCCCATGGTGCGCTGAATAATCAGTGCTGCCGTAGAGACAGATTTAGGAATGATCAAGCTTTGTGTTGGAATACCCTGCAGAAGGGACTTGCAGGGACATAACAGCATCTAGGATGCTTTTGCTGCCCTGCTCAGGTTGTCCTGTTTGATTAAAGAAAATATGTGACCATGAAGAGAAGGTATTATAAGTCCTTAGCCTCTTATAGGAGAGAGAAGATAAAGGTCTCCACGTGTACAATTTGCATTCTTACAAGCCCTGTGATGACGCCTCAGGTCTGCCCTCTCTTCCCCTTTGTGTGTGAAGCCATGACAAAGTTATTTTTTGATTCCCAATTTTCTGTTTTCTTTGCCACTGGAGCTGAGGATCCTTGTTGCTCCTTGTCTTCTGTATCACTCGTCATTTCTCCTTCCTCCCCCAGATACTCCGTCCTCTCCGTCCATTGACAGAGTGGAGCCCTATTCCAGTACTGCCCAGGTGGAGTTTGATGAGCCTGAGGCCACCGGTGGGGTGCCTATCCTCAAGTACAAAGCAGAGTGGAGGGCACTGGGCGAGGGAGAATGGCATTCCAAGTTGTATGATGCAAAAGAAGGTAGGATACCAAAGCAAGATGTGACCCGTCTTCCTTCATCTCAAAAGACTCTTTTTTTCTTTTGGGGGTGGGGGGGAAGTGGGAGAGGAGAGTTCCATAGCTCAAATTTCAGCACATGTTTGAGGATCCTGCAGGATCCCGTTGCTGTCAGTGTGCTAATAGCACTCTGAAGCCACTCTGACCAGAACAAAGCAGCTGTCTCCCTGCTGACGTAACCCCCGAACTGGTCCTGCCGTTCACCTTTTTTGCGTGTGTGATGTTCATGGTCAGAAAGAGCATCCATTAAGGCCCCAGAGCTGTTCTTTAACATTTGCTTTACAGTGGCATCTTACGTTCTCAGTTGGAAATGAGGGCTCCACCGTGTTGATAGCTGTACAAAGCTAAATCCTGCTAAGCAGGATTCGTTGTGCTTGCCTTTACAATGCAGTTTCCCAAGCAGCCATGTGTTGCTCTGCATCCAGAGGTGAGGCTCCTGTCTGTTGCAGGAGTCTTGGTTCCACCTGAGTGCTTGATGCCTTAAACCCTGCCAGTGGCCTTTGAAGGCTGCTGCTGTTCACACTGAAGGAGATCAGGCTTGGATCGTGCAGCCCAACAGATAAGCAGCTTTGGGAGTGGTATGTGTACTACAATCAGAGCCCCCGTGACACTGATCAAGGAGCTCCCTGGCATAGACCAGGGGCCAATTCCTTGCAGTGCCTGCCATGAGCTCTGCTATGTAACCCTCTGTGGCAATACCACCTCTGTAATCAGCTGTTTCATACAGAGGTGGCAGGTAGCTCTGGCCTTTCTCATAGCATGCACTGTTTCTCTGAGATTGGGCCCAGAAGAGGACTCCGTTGCATGGGGTGAAAGTTGCAGAGTACGATAGGAACACTGCATTTATTGTTGACTCAAGGCCTGAGTCTTTCTCTTTGCTTTTCCTCCCTTGTTTCTGCAACAGCAAGCGTGGAGGGCATGATCACCATCACTGGCCTGAAACCTGAGACAACCTACTCTGTGAGACTCTCTGCAGTCAATGGCAAGGGTGTGGGTGAGATTAGCCTGCCATCTGACTTCAAGACACAGCCAGTTCGTAAGTAATGCTGAGGCCTGCCTCTGCCTCTTTGGTATTCTTTCCTTGCATCTTTCCAGGGAATCTCTGCCACGCATGGATGACACCTTCTTCTCTTGCGGACCTTGTTGCATCCTTTGTTTGTTGTGGTTTTTGACTGTAGTGAATTCCATCACTAATTAAAACTCTTCCTTGAAGGTAGGAGGCAGAGGAGCTATTTGCACTAGTCTGTTTCCTGGGTTACTTGTGTAAACTTAGTATTGTCAAAGAGATGGGACTGGGCAATGGAGAGTTCACCAATGTTTTAATAATGCAAACAAGCAGTGAGTTGAGACGTATGTGGTCATGGAGAATGTAATGTCTCTTCACTGTTACAAGACAGCTTTTTTTCCATCACAGTAGTGGCCATGAACCATGGAGGGAGGCAGGAAGGGAGGGAGGATTTCTCTGTTCTGCAGATTACTGCCATAAGATGCCCATGTAGCACATAAGGTGATTTCCAGGCCCTCTTGTCTGCTTTACTTGGGTGATCTTCCACTCCAAAGACAGGATGCTCTGCCATGGCCTAACACTTTGCCTCCTGTTACAACCAGGAAAAAAAAAAGGCAAGAATCAAAAAACTAGAAAGTCTTGGACAGGAAGGAGAGAGAAAGTGGGTAGGGCAGATATGACAGAAGCGGGGGGTGGGGGGGGAGGTTTCTCTTGCCATTGTACAAGGCCTCACCCAGGTATTTAGGATTCATAATGAACCCACCACAACTCCTAGAGTTCTGTTCCATTCCCTTTGCATTTAAGTCTAATGCCTCCTCTTCTTCCCACTGTCATGCCCGTGCTTTACCTGTTTCATAACTCTTTTGAAACCACTGTGCAGGACCTTCCCCTGAGCTCAGAGCTAGCAGTACTCCCAACCCACATGTGTGCATGCTTTGAGGCCCTGTGAGCTATGTATGATCTTGATTTGGTCTACCAACTTCTGCCTCACCGGAGTTACTGAGAAATATGGGACAACATATGTGCCTTGCTGCTTGGAAATCCAGGCCCTGTACCACAAGCCAGCCTTCACAATTGTTTTACGGTTTGTTGGGATAACTCTTGTTGCCCATCCCACTCATTAGGGTTGGATTCGGGACAGCCGGTGGTGTCTAGAATTTCCAGCTCCATGGTCTCTTATCTCTTCTTCACATCTCTTTTACATTTTTTTTTTCTATCTTTGTCTTTTCTTTTTGTCTGTGTTCCATCCATGGAAAAACCGCAGGCATCCCTCATTCACGTAAGTGCCTCTCTGCATTTCTTTTGCTCCCTATTTGTGTTCCTGGAGTGTTCCTCTAACATACGTAGCACGAGCATTTAATCTAGTGCCATTTTCCTCTTACAGTCCTTAGAAATGAAGTAATCAACACTATCCGTTTCCTAACAAGACTAACACTAGAGTAGCCATTCTACTCTAGTTAATAGTGCTCTTTCAAAAACAGAGCTAGGGGTTAACACCTATTTCTTTATCATATAGCATGCAATCCAAATATTCAATTTACAATGATTTTTGTCATAGTAAAGGTTAGCTTTTTAACCACAGAGCAGAGTAGTGGAAGGCTTCATTTTTAGGAATTGATCAAAATTTTTCGAATTTTAATAAAATATAGATACTCAGAAAAAAATAGGAGAAAGCTTCAGCTAATTTTCGATCTGTTTTTAGACCAAAGAGCTGACCAAAAACTTCAGAATTTTGACTTTTTCTAAGTCTTGAAACAAGCAGAAAAAAAAAATTTCGAAAAATTTTCACACTTCTATTCTTCCTGATATTCTTTACCTTTAGTAGGCTTTAGGTGGTCTTCTGGCAACTGCGTAGAATTGATACTAAAAAACAAACAAACAAAAGACTCTGCTAAATTTTGAAGTGCACATTTTTTATCCCTACCAGGAAAAATCCAAAATGAGTTGGAGAGAAGTCATAGTGGATTTGACGGATGTATTTGTCTGTCAGTTTCAGTGTAACAGTGTAGCGTATGTTCCATAGCTTTGTGTCTTTCAAATCAGAGTTGAGCATTGGCCTCCAGAAGAAAAAACCTCTTTATCTAAGTGAACATTAGTCTCTATATCAAAACAGATATCCATGGGATGGACTGTTGTTATACCCAAGATTGTATTGGTGTGCTTTGTGAAGCTGCTGTCATATTCTTTGAGATTTCTGAAGCTGAAGTCAAAAAGGGGTTTTTTTTTCCCCCTAATTGCAGGATTTGACGCATGCTTCTGCTATTTTTCAGTAGTTTGTGGTGTCATAAAAAAAGCTTGGAGTTAGCGGATAACGAGCAGGATGAATGGATCAGTAGACAGGTTCAGAGATGTTTCTCAATGTGGATGAATGAATTGACGGATGTGTAGACAGAATTTCAAATTACAGTAGTTGCAAAACAGAGGGTAAACTGGGAGACTTATCTTACCTGTTGTGTTCCCTGACATGCAGTATGCTGCCCAGAATTGTTCAGAGCATATTAATTTCAGCAGAAGCAATTTACCTGTTATATAACAAGTTAATTGTGGTTAGCATTATATCCATTAGGCAAATAGTTTGGCAGGTCGTTCTGAATTGGACACCGTCGATGATACAGAAGGGAGATGAAGTCATAAGCATTCAGTCTCCAAGAAGACTGATGCAAAATAGGAAAAAGAAAAGGTCTAATTAAGGAGAGGAGGGAAAAGAATATCAAAAACCTGGTTTCAACCACATCTACAATTCTGGCTGCCAAGCCTCGCGTTCATCACTTGGGGGCTGGTGTGTGGTTTTGTGAAGAAGGAGGTTAAATCAAACCTATAGTACAGAGGGTTTCTTACTGTTTTTTTTTTTAATGTGACAATAGCTATTAGAATTCAGATTGCAAAAGCAAAATATACCTTTTCTGCTCGTGGCATTATTTGCAACCGGTACAGAGCTACCAATGCATATTTTCATTGTAATCTGGACAGCTACCCCTTCTGCCGAGTGATCGCTAGATCAGCAGGA